CACTTAGTTCCAATTTTGATCCTGGTGGATGTTTAACTCCGTATACGATAAGAGCGAAAGGTGCAGGTGCAGCTATGGTTGCAGAAACAAGTGTTGTTTAAGTACAAATTTTAAAAAAAACTAAAATTCGCTTATTTAAGAATTTAAATGTCTGTTGGGGGAATAAATTGTTCAGTATTATTTCACTATTTTTACATCCTGACACACCTGACACAAACGTTCGGCGCCATGTTTGTTGTATACACAGTAATATTTTAGTGAGTGAGTGAGTGAGTGAGTGAGTTTGATTTTACGCCGCTTTTAGCAATATTCCAGCAATATCACGGCGGGGGCCACCAGAAATGTGCTTCACACATTGTACCCATGTCGGGATTCGAACCTGGGTCTTCGGCGTGACAAGCGAACGCTTTAACCACTAGGCTACCCGACCGCCCAGGTGATATTTTAAATTTAGAATACATGCCTCAAACGTGAACTGAGTTCATTAGTTCAGAAAGTGTGAAATAAAATTCCAGAAGTAAGTATATATATATAGCTATTTAAATATTGCCTGTGTATAATCTGTATCATGAACTGTTTATACCCTGTATCATTGCCTGTGTATAATCTGTATCATGAACTGTTAATACCCTGTATCATTGCCTGCGTATAATCTGTATCATGAACTATTTATACGTTGTATCATTGCCTGTGTATAATCTGTATCATGAACTGTTTATACGTTGTATCATTGCCTGTGTATAATCTGTATCATGAACTGTTTATACCCTGTATCATTGCCTGCGTATAATCTGTATCATGAACTGTTTATACGTTGTATCATTGCCTGTGTATAATCTGTATCATGAACTGTTTATACCTTGTGTCATTGCCTGTGTATAATCTGTATCGTGAACTGTTTATACACTGTATCATTGCCTGTGTATAATCTGTATCATGAACTGTTTTTACCCTGTATCATTGCCTGTATATAGTCTGTATCATGAACTGTTTATACACTGTATCATTGCCTTTGTATAATCTGTATCATGAACTGTTTTTACCCTGTATCATTGTCTGCGTATAATCTGTATCATGAACTGTTTATACCCTATATCATCGTCTGCATATAATCTGTATCATGAACTGTTTATACCCTGTATCATTGTCTACGTATAATCTGTATCATGAACTGTTTATACCCTATATCATTAACTGTTTATACCTGTATCATTAGCCATTTATACTTTGTACCATTAACTGTTTATACTCTGCATCATTAACTGTTTTTACCCTGTACCATTAACTCTTTGTATCCTGTATCATTAACTGTTTTACCCTGTATCATTTACTGTTTATACCTTGTATCATTAACTGTGTATAATCTCTATCATTGCCTGCGTATAATCTGTCATTAACAGTTAATAATCTGTATCATTAACTGTTTATACCCTATATCGTTAGCTGTTAATACCCTGTATCGTTACCTGTTTATACCCTGCATCTCTAGCTGTAAATACCCTGTATCATTAACTGTTTATACCCTATATCGTTAGCTGTTAATACCCTGTATCATTAACTGTCGATGACCTGTATCATTAACTGGTTATACCCTATGTCATTAACTTTGTATACCTTGTCTTGTGAACTGTTTATTACCTATATCATTAACTGTTTATGACCTTTATCATTAACTGTTTATACCCTATGTCATTAACTGTGTATACCTTGTCTTATTAACTGTTTATATCCTGTATCATTAACTGTTGATGACCTGTATCATTAACTGTTTATACCCTATGTCTTTAACTGTGTATACATTGTCTTATTAACTATTCATATCCTGTCTTATTAACTGTTTATGACCTGTAGCATTAACTATTGATACCCTGTATCATTAACTGTTGATGACCTGTATCATGAACTATTTATACCTTGTTTTTTTAACTGTTTATACCCTGTATCATTAACTATTTATACCCTGCTTCATAAACTTTTATGACCTGTATCAATAACTGTTTATATCCTGTATCGTTAACTGTTTATACCCTGTATCATTAACTGTTTTTACCCTGCATCCTTTAACTGTTCATACCCTGCATCCTTTAACTGTTAATACCCTGCATCATTTACTATTAATACCCTGCATCATTAACTGTATATACCCTGTATCATTAACTGTTTATACCCCGCATCATTTACTGTTGATATCCTGTATCATTAACTGTGTATACCCTGTATCATAACCTGTTTATACCCCGCACCATTTACTGTTTATACCCTGTATCATTAACTTTTTATACCCTGTATCATTAACTGTTTATACCCTGTATCATTAACTGTTTATACCCTGTATCATTAACTGTTTATTACCTGTATCATTAACTGTTTATACCTCGCATCATTTACTATTAATACCCCGCATCAATAACTGTATATACCCTGTATCATTAACTGTTTTTACCCCGCATCATTAACTGTTTATACCCTGTATCATTAACTGTTTATACCCTGTATCATTAACTGTTAATACCCCGCATCATTTACTATTAATACCCCGCATCATTAACTGTATATACCATGTATCATTAACTGTTTTTACCCCGCATCATTAACTGTTTATACCCCGCATCATTAACTGTTTATACCTGTATCATTAACTGTTTATACCCTGTATCATTAACTGTTTATACCCTGTATCATTAACTGTTTATACCCCGCATCATTAACTGTTTGTACCCTGTATCATTAACTGTTTATACCCCGTATCATTAACTGTTTGTACCCTGTATCATTAACTGTTTATACCCTGTATCATTTACTGTTGATCCGTTGTATCATAGACAACTGATTATCATTTCGTGCTCAGTTCATTTTAGCTACGTCAAACATGGATGAATACGGAGAGCGGAAGGTCCGGGGTTCGATCCCCGGCCGCGTCATACCAAAAGACGTTAAAAGATGGTACTTGTTGTTATCCTGTCTGGCGCTCCTTAAACAAGGACTGGTCTGCTCGGAGTCAGTATACTGTGTCTGAGTGGGGTATTCATGTTAAACTGTGGCATGGTATCTCAGTGAGATAGCACTATAAATCGGCATCAGTCCGGACTAGGACAAGCAGCCACACAAACACATACACATACACGTACACGTACATGCACGTCGCTATATAAGTGCAAAAATCTTGGACGCGACGTTAAACCCAATTTCACCTCACCTCACAGATTATCCAGAAAAAAGACTCCAATATGATGTCGATGAATGCTTTATTCAAGCAGAGGGGCACATGTTGGCCAGAATCACTCACTTACTCGAGCCATGCAGCCACTGTCGGCCTCGAGGTAGGTGCGTTGCGGAGGTTCCGAACAGTAGATCGGGACACTAGTGACCATTCTTCAATGACACTGCAAAGATCATGATTTGAATGGTGAACAGAGTTTCATAACTATCACAATTTTATCTGTCCTGACTGTTAGATGATAGAAGCAGCGGAGTCAAACTCATAGTCATGCCTTAATGAATGAAACAAACATGGACTTGAACGTTGTATTATGTCAGTAACTTGGGGTGTTAAATTGAATTAAAACAAATTAATCGTTTCATTTCAAATTAGAAATGCTGAGCCACATATACAGCCGCACCCTCTTCAAAAACAGCTATACATCTAGATCCAGAAGAAACTCTCTGCCTCTAATTCTGCCTCTACATCAACAGCTACCCCGTCTACATCTACAGCGAACTCCGTCAGCATCTCTCTAACTACTCTAAAAGCTCTACATTTACAAATAGTACCTCTACATCGACAACTACTCCATCTACAAAAACTCAATATATATCTACAAATATTTCTACAACATCTACCACTACTCCCTCTACATCTACAAGTCCTCCCACTACATCTACAACGACTCTATCTACAACTTCTCCCTCTCCATCGACCTCTACAACAACACCGCCTACATCTACAGCTACTCAATCTACGTCTACAACTACTCCCTCTATATATACAACTACTTCCTCTACATCTACAACTACTCCCTCTACATCTACTACTCCCTCTACATCTACAACTACTACCACTACATCTACAACTATTCCCTCTACACTCACAAGTACTCCCTGTACATCAACAACTTCCACCGCTTCATCCACAACTCCACAACATCCAAAACTTCTACATCTGAAACAAACCCCTCTACAACTTCACCTCTTCATCTGCATGTACTCCTACTAAAATACCTCCTCTACACCTACAAACTACTTCCACTACTTCTACAACTACTCCCTCTACGTCTACAACTACTACCACTACATCTACAACAACTCCTTCTACATATACATCTACTCCATCTACATCTACAACTACTCCCTCTACATCTACAACAACTCCTTCTACATATACATCTACTCCATCTACATATACATCTACTCCATCTACATCTACAACTACTCCCTCTACATCTACATCTACTCCCTCTACATCTACAACTACTCCCTCTACATCTACATCTACTCCCTCTACATCTACAACTACTCCCTCTACATCTACAACTACTACCACTACATCTACAACTACTCCCTCTACATCTACTACCACTACATCTACAACTACTCCCTCTACGTCTACATCTACTACCACTACATCTACAACTACTCCCTCTACATCTACATCTACTCCCTCTACATCTACAACTACTCCCTCTACATCTACTACCACTACATCTACAACTACTCCCTCTACGTCTACATCTACTACCACTACATCTACAACTACTCCCTCTACATCTACATCTACTCCCTCTACATCTACAACTACTCCCTCTACATCTACAACTACTACCACTACATCTACAACTACTCCCTCTACATCTACTACCACTACATCTACAACAACTCCTTCTACATATACATCTACTCCATCTACATCTACAACTACTCCCTCTACATCTACAACTACTCCCTCTACATCTACATCTACTCCCTCTACATCTACATCTACAACTACTCCCTCTACATCTACAACTACTACCACTACATCTACAACTACTCCCTCTACGTCTACAACTACTCCCTCTACATCAACAACTACTCCCTCTACGTCTACAACTACTCCCTCTACATCTACAACTGCTCCCTCTACATCTACAACTACTCCCTCTACATCTACAACTACTCCCTCTACGTCTACATCTACTCCCTCTACATCTACAACTACTCCCTCTACATCTACAACTACTCCCTCTACACTCACATGTACTTCCTCCACAACTACTCCCTCTACATCAACAACTACTCCCTCTACATCAACAACTACTCCCTCTACGTCTACAACTACTCCCTCTACATCTACAACTACTCCCTCTACATCTACAACTGCTCCCTCTACGTCTACAACTACTACCACTACATCTACAACTACTCCCTCTACACTCACATGTACTTCCTCCACAACTACTCCCTCTACATCAACAACTACTCCCTCTACATCAACAACTACTACCACTACATCTACTCCCTCTACATCTACAACTACTCCCTCTCCACTCACAAGTACTCCCTCTTCAACTACTCCCTCTACGTCTACAACTACTTCCTCTCCATCTACAACTACCATAACAACTACTCCCTCTACATCAACTACTACTCCCTCTACATCAACAACTACTACCACTACATCTACTCCCTCTACATCTACAACTACTCCCTCTCCACTCACAAGTACTCCCTCTTCAACTACTCCCTCTACATCTACAACTACTCCCTTTCCACTCACAAGTACTCCCTCCACAACTACGCCCTCTACATCTACAACTACTCCCTCTACATCTACAACTACTACCACTACATCTACAACTACTCCCTCTACGTCTACATCTACTACCACTACATCTACAACTGCTCCCTCTACATCTACATCTACTCCCTCTACATCTACAACTACTCCCTCTACGTCTACAACTACTAGCACTACATCTACAACAACTCCTTCTTCATATACATCTACTCCATCTACATCTACAACTACTCCCTCTACATCTACAACTACTCCCTCTTCGTCTACAACTACTACCACTACATCTACAACTACTCCCTCTACATCTACATCTACTCCCTCTACATCTACAACTACTCCCTCTACGTCTACAACTACTAGCACTACATCTACAACTGCTCCCTCTACATCTACATCTACTCCCTCTACATCTACAACTACTCCCTCTACGTCTACAACTACTAGCACTACATCTACAACAACTCCTTCTTCATATACATCTACTCCATCTACATCTACAACTACTCCCTCTACATCAACAACTACTCCCTCTACATCTACAACTACTCCCTCTACACTCACATGTACTCCCTCCACAACTACTCCCTCTACATCAACAACTACTCCCTCTACATCTACAACTACTCCCTCTCCACTCACAAGTACTCCCTCTTCAACTACTCCCTCTACATCTACAACTACTCCCTCTTCGTCTACAACTACTACCACTACATCTACAACTACTCCCTCTACACTCACATTTACTCCCTCCACAACTACTCCCTCTACATCAACAACTACTCCCTCTACATCTACAACTACTCCCTCTCCACTCACAAGTACTCCCTCCACAACTACTCCCTCTACATCAACAACTACTCCCTCTACATCAACAACTACTACCACTTCATCTACTCCCTCTACATCTACAACTACTCCCTCTCCACTCACAAGTACTCCCTCTTCAACTACTCCCTCTACGTCTACAACTACTTCCCCTACATCTACAACTACCACTACAACTACTCCCTCCACATCAACAACTACTCCCTCTACATCTACAACTACTACCACTACATCTACTCCCTCTACATCTACATCTACTCCCTCTACATCTACAACTACTCCCTTTCCACTCACAAGTACTCCCTCCACAACTACTCCCTCTACATCTACAACTACTACCACTACATCTACTCCCTCTACATCTACATCTACTCCCTCTACATCTACATCTTAACCCTCTACATCAACAACTACTCCCTCTACGTCTACAACTACTACCACTACATCTACTCCCTCTACATCTACATCTACTCCCTCTACATCTACAACTACTCCCTTTCCACTCACAAGTACTCCCTCTTCAACTACTCCCTCTACGTCTACAACTACTTTCTCTACATCTACAACTACCGTTACACCTACTCCCTCTACATCTACAATTACTCCCTCTACATCTACATCTAAACCCTCTACATATACAATTACTCCCTCTACATCTACATCTAAACACTCTACATCTACAACTACTCCCTTTCCACTCACAAGTACTCCCTCCACAACTACTTCCTCTACATCTACAACTACTCCCTTTCCACTCACAAGTACTTCCTCCACAACTACTCCCTCTACATCTACAACTACTCCCTCTACATCAACAACTACTCCCTCTACATCAACAACTACTACCACAACATCTACTCCCTCTCCATCTACATCTACTCCCTCTACATCTACAACTACTCCCTTTCCACTCACAAGTACTCCCTCTTCAACTACTCCCTCTACGTCTACAACTACTTCCTCTACATCTACAACTACCACTACACCTACTCCCTCTACATCTACAATTACTCCCTCTACATCTACATCTAAACCCTCTACATATACAATTACTCCCTCTACATCTACATCTACTACCTCTACATCTACATGTACATCTATTCCCTCTACATCTACTCCCTCTACACCTACAACTATTCCCTCTACATCTACAACTACTCCCTCTACATCTACGCCTATGAGACCACCTACTGACAACTATTTATGTTTTGTTGTTTGTTTGTTGTTTACCACTTGCACTTAGGAATATTCCAGCTCTGTGACGGCGGCCTATAGAAAAGACATTAATGCAGTGATGGATTCCACAAGCAAAGATCCGGGCCTTCAGATTATGCTTTCACGTCATCAACCTGACCATGGCCACCCGATCCATTTGGTCGCCACGACCAGCACAAATTGCTGGGGACCAATTCCAACCCGGATTCTGAAGCAGGGTTATAAAGTATACCTTAGAATGCTTACCCAATGACATTGTAAGCAATGAATAAGCTGTCTCCTTCAATATAAATGTCTTGGACAATCGCACGTAAGTCCATGACAAAGGTTTCCACCCCTGTCTCCAGGTTATATTTGGAGAGTGTTGGAGGTTGATACTCCGTGTAGTATACTTCCTGAGCTGAAAGCAGTTGTGTCATTAGTGAGGGTTAAACGAATTGGAATTATTTTACTGTTTTTGGTGAACAGAATGTCAAACAAATTCACCTGCCTTAGAGGTACAACATATGTTTTACTAAGGCAGGACCGAAGCATTAGAAATCTAAAATTATTTAACGCTGTTAGAAAGAATTTATAATTAAAAAAACATGTGGACTCACAAAGGTTGAATATTGCTCTCAATTCCTTTCTCGACTATTGATTATGACAACGAGAAATCAATATTCACGTACTGGAATTTTAGTTATACAGATCATTTTGATATATATATATATATATATTGCATTATTGCTCTGTCAGACCGCCTCCGTGGTCTAGTGGTAGAGCGTCCGCCCGGAGAGCGGAAGGTCCCCGACCGCGTCATACCAAAAAGACGTTAAAAGATGGTACTTGTTGTTACTCTGTCTGGCGCTCGGCATTAAGGGGCTAAAACAAGGACTGGTCGGCTCGGAGTCAGTATACTGTGTCTGAGTGGGGTATTCATGTTAAACTGCGGCATGGTATCTCAGTGAGCTAGCACTTTAAATCGGCATCAGTCCGGACTATTACAAGCAGCCACACCAACACACAAACGTACATGTACGTCGCTTGTCGTTTGAGGTTCAAGTTATTGTAGTGACATATATCATACTGTTGTATCACGTTATTGTAGATGTATATATCATACTGTTGTTAGAGGTTTAAGTTATTGTAGAGACATATATGATATTGTTGTCAGAGGTTTAAGTTCTTGTAGAGACATATATCATATTGTTGTTAGGGGTTTAAGTTGTTTTTGAGACATATATCATATTGTTGTTAGAGGTTTAAGTTATTTTCGAGACATATATTATATTGTTCTTTGAGGTTTAAGTTATTGTGGAGACATATATCATGTTGTTGTTAGAGGTTTAAGTTATTGTAGAGACTTATATCATATTGTTTTTTGAGGTTTAAGTTATTGTAGAGACATATATCACACTGTTGTTAGAGGTTTAAGTTATTGTAGAGACATATATCATACTGTTGTTAGAGGTTTAATTTCTTGCAGAGACGTCGACATATATCATATTGTTGTTAGGGGTTTAAAGTTATTGTAGAGACGTCGACATATATCATATTGTTGTTAGGGGTTTAAGTTATTGTAGAGACATTTATCATATTATATTGTTGTTAGGGGTTTAAGTTATTGTAGAGACATATATCACACTGTTGTTAGAGGTTTAAGTTCTTGTAGAGACATTTATCATATTGTTGTTTGAGGTTTAAGTTATTGTAGAGACTTACATCATATTGTTGTTTGAGGTTTAAGTTATTGTAGAGACATATATCACACTGTTGTTAGAGGTTTAAGTTATTGTAGAGACTTATATCATACTGTTGTTAGAGGTTTAAGTTATTGTAGAGACATATATCATATTGTTGTTAGAGGTTTAAGTTATTGTAGAGTCTTATATCATACTGTTGTTAGAGGTTTAAGTTATTGTAGAGACATATATCATACTGTTGTTTGAGGTTTAAGTTATTGTAGAGACATATATCATACTGTTGTTAGAGGTTTAATTTCTTGTAAAGATGTCGACATATATCATATTGTTGTTGGGGGTTTAAGTTATTGTAGAGACGTCGACATATATCATATTGTTGTTAGGGGTTTAAGTTATTGTAGAGACATTTATCATATTGTTGTTAGAGGTTTAATTTCTTGTAAAGACGTCGACATATATCATATTGTTGTTAGGGGTTTAAGTTATTGTAGAGACGTCGACATATATCACACTGTTGTTAGAGGTTTAAGTTATTGTAGAGACATATATCATACTGTTGTTAGAAGTTTAATTTCTTGCAGAGACGTCGACATATATCATATTGTTCTTAGGGGTTTAAGTTATTGTAGAGACGTCGACATATATCATATTGTTGTTAGGGGTTTAAGTTATTGTAGAGACGTCGACATATATCATATTGTTGTTAGGGGTTTAAGTTATTGTGGAGAAATATATCATATTGTTGTTAGAGGTTTAAGTTATTGTAGAGACATATATTATATTGTTGTTTGAGGTTTAAGTTATTATGGAGACATATATCATGTTGTTGTTAGAGGTTTAAGTTATTGTAGAGACATATATCATACTGTTGTTAGAGGTTTAATTTCTTGTAAAGATGTCGACATATATCATATTGTTGTTAGGGGTTTAAGTTATTGTAGAGACGTCGACATATATCATATTGTTGTTAGGGGTTTAAGTTATTGTAGAGACATTTATCATATTGTTGTTAGAGGTTTAATTTCTTGTAAAGACGTCGACATATATCATATTGTTGTTAGGGGTTTAAGTTATTGTAGAGACGTCGACATATATCATATTGTTGTTAGGGGTTTAAGTTATTGTAGAGACATTTATCATATTGTTGTTAGAGGTTTAATTTCTTGTAAAGACGTCGACATATATCATATTGTTGTTAGGGGTTTAAGTTATTGTAGAGACGTCGACATATATCATATTGTTGTTAGGGGTTTAAGTTATTGTAGAGACATTTATCATATTGTTGTTAGGGGTTTAAGTTATTGTAGAGACGTCGACATATATCATATTGTTGTTAGGGGTTTAAGTTATTGTAGAGACATATATCATATTGTTGTTAGAGGTTTAAGTTATTGTAGAGACATATATTATATTGTTGTTTGAGGTTTAAGTTATTGTGGAGACATATATCATGTTGTTGTTAGAGGTTTTAGTTATTGTAGAGACATTTATCATATTGTTGTTTGAGGTTTAAGTTATTGTCGAGACATATATCATATTGTTGTTAGAGGTTTAAGTTATTGTAGAGACAGATATCACACTGTTGTTAGAGGTTTAAGTTATTTTAGAGACATATATCACACTGTTGTTAGAGGTTTTAGTTATTGTAGAGACATATATCACACTGTTGTTAGAGGTTTAAGTTATTGTAGAGACATATATCACACTGTTGTTAGAGGTTTAAGTTATTGTAGAGACATATAGCACACTGTTGTTAGAGGTTTAAGTTATTGTAGAGACTTATATCATATTGTTGTTTGAGGTTTAAGTAATTGTAGAGACATATATCATATTGTTGTTTGAGGTTTAAGTTCTTGTAGAGACATATATCATATTGTTGTTAGAGGTTTAAGTTATTGTAGAGACATATATCACACTGTTGTTTGAGGTTCTGGTTATCAGAAAGGCATGTATCATACTGTTATTTGAGGTTCAAGTTCTTAGAGATGCATATTTCATACTGTCGTTTGAGGTTCAAGTTATTAAAGAGTCGTGCTTCATACTGTTGTTTGAGGTTCAAGTTATTAGAGATTCATATATCATACTGTTGTTTGAGGTTCAAGTTATTAAAGAGCCGTGGTTCATACTGTTGATTGAGGTTCGAGTATTAGAGAATCGTGCTTCATTCTGTTGTTTGAGGTTCAAGTTATTAAAGAGCCGTGGTTCATACTGTTGATTGAGGTTCGATTATTAGAGAATCGTGCTTCATTCTGTTGTTTGAGGTTCAAGTTATTAAAGAGCCGTGGTTCATACTGTTGATTGAGGTTCGATTATTAGAGAATCGTGCTTCATTCTGTTGTTTGAGGTTCGATTATTAGAGAATCGTGCTTCATTCTGTTGTTTGAGGTTCGATTATTAGAGAATCGTGCTTCATTCTGTTGTTTGAGGTTCAAGTTATATATTGCAAGAAGTAATATCACATCCATCTTAATTTTAAGGGAATGGTTTTTGTTTTTATGTGCAACTCGTCAGGATGTTGATGTTTCTGTTATTATGGTTGTGTTCGTGTTATTTCACACGAGTCATTCCAGCTTAGTTTTGTCTGTCTGCCTGTCTGCATGTTATTGGCATAATAAAACACATCTTTGTTTATCAAGACTCTGGAGTGTTTGAGTGAGTTTATTGCCGCTTAAAACAGTATTCCAGTTACATCACAGTGTGTTAGCTTAAAGTGGGAGGAAAGTC